CGGTCCATTGCTGCTATGCATCATTACTTTTGCAACCCGGAAAGTCGTGTAGTGTTATCTTTCAACATGATGCAAGACGAACGATGGTGAACGAACTCTATTCGATCAGTGTTTGAGAGATTGTGGTGTGCGCGTGTTGCGGCATTCCCCACGGCGTTTGCACGAAGTAAACTGTAACTCATCGGGGGGGGTCTGGGGGGGGCGGAGCCCCCCCCAGCGCCTTACAGATTCGGAATACTTTTATTCCCGCGACTAAAAACCTATTCCTCCGTTCGGACTGGAAAATTCACCGGCAAAATTGAAAAGAAAAACACTGTCCCGATCGATCCAAAGGGAGGCGGCATCCGCCTCGTTTGCCGCACTCTCAACCCTCTCCACCTGCAAAACGATGCTGTGCTCTTGCAGGAACTCCCACAGACACTGCAACTCCGCGTGCATAGCCGGTGACCGCGAAGACAGGCGACCCAGAACTGCCTGAGTGCAGGTGTTATCCTCCCGAATCAACACAACATGCTGCCGAACGAGAGGGAGACAAGTCGGGTGTCGGCTTCCTCGAAGCCGGAAAAAGGGCGGGGGCCCCCTGCATCCGTACAGGCCGGTAGCTAGCGCGGCACGTGTGACAATTGATGGGTAGTGTCAACGCGGTGGGAGATGTGCTTTGTTGCAGCAGTGCTGATGGTGTGGGAGCTAAGCTTGCACCGGCGGAATCGTCAGCACTGCCTGCGGGCTCCACGCGAATCGCATCCATCCCGGGTGCATGCGGCATGGACAGTGCGGCAGACTGCAAGTCGGAATGCCCGTGCGGGCAAATGGTAACGAAAGCTGGGTGAATTTCGGTGCTTTCTGTGATGTTTATCCCCGAAGCGCTCAGCAATCCGCCCCACAGCCGCGAGCTTCATCGGGGCACACCGCAAGTCTCTGGAGGCCCCATGCATTGGCCAAAGTACATGTACAAACAAGCAGCTTGTGTATTTCATAGAGAAATGAAAGCAAATTTGTTGGCCTGCTGGTGGCAAGTCGGATTGCCCATGCCGGCAAATGGTAACACAAGCTGGGTGTTCGAGTTATCATCGTCATCTCAGAATCCCAGTATGAGATACGCGGCAGCTTTCAGGATGAAATTTAGCGCGAGAGGTGTTGATGTGACTTTTGAGGTCGGTGAATGGAGGCAGCCAAACTTGCAGGCATGGAGGCAGCCACCCCCCCACCAGCAACAACGCTGGCAGCGCCAGCAACAGGCCCGCAGCCGGTG